TCAAGGATCAAAGGGTCAAAAAAGAAAGGTTTAATGTAACAAGGATTATATATAACTCATTCTTCAATACTGGTGATATTTTGAAAAAAAATATTTCTTTTCTCCTTTATTTTCCAATAAACAATGTGTAAGCAGACGTTAATAATGAAACTGGCTAGATTTAAAAAAAAACAGCCTTTTATCAGCATTCTTTGAAGAAATTATTGGCATTGAAAAAAAAAGATCACTGCCTTATAGCATAGAAATGCATTTATTTGTCAAAATATAAAGTGAACAAAACTTTTCATGATGTACATTATCTAACATTTTTTTTCATTACGAAGTACAATTTACATCCTTTCATTATGTCAGTCACGACAAGTTGAAGATAATGTGTTTACTTTGTTAAAACTTTATTAGAAAACAATGCTCCCCAATTATATATTTATATAAAATTACATCTTGTATAGATTTAAATTTTACCAAAGAGTCGCCTGCATGATGCAGTAGATAGTGCGTTTTCTTTAGATTCGCTGAAAAATGACTCCCTGTGGATTAAAGCTGATTTTTTTAGGGGGCAAAAAAAAAAAAAAAAAAAAGATAAAGACGCATATTGGCCAAAATGCTCACCTGAGCTAATTGGGAATAAATTGAGGATATGTTGATCTCATAACATTATACAATTAAAGCTATAATTTTAGGTCAATGCGATGATTCAGAATCTAAAGGAGTAAAAGATTTGTCGAGCCTAAAGGGTTAGGTAAACAGTGTTTTTCGATGGTGGAAATCATCGTACTGTCAGAAAAAATCAGCAGTATTATACATTATTCCATCCTCCGCTTGAAAAGCGGGAGGATATATAGTGATCGGGATGTCCGTCCGTTCGTCTTTTACGCATTGGGGTATCCATCTCTTATCCGCTGCTCCTCTTATATACAATATAAAAAAAAACCCAATTCAAAATAAAAAGAAAAAAATGATTGTGTTTGTGAAACAGTTAAAGTAAACACCATTGATTTTCCTGTATGGCAACATAGCGAAGATTAAACTTTTCTTAAATATAATTTAAATATATTGGTACCCACAATAGGGTCTTCTCACAAGAAATACAATTGCAAAATATGCACCACTTGTTCAAATGTAATGGCTTAGGATAAATTTTTGAAAGGTAGGTCATACTCAAGGGTCAAAGGGTCAAAGTTGATGGTTTCTTAAGAAAGGTTTAATGTAACAAGGATTATATATAACTCATTCTTCAATACTGGTGATATTTTGAAAAAAAAAATTCTTTTCTCCTTTATTTTCCAATAAATAATGTGTAAGCAGACGTTAATAATGAAACTGATTATTTTTAAAAAATATACTTTTGGTCACATATCTAAATTCAGTTCTGAAGAATGAGTTATATGTGAAGTATGAAAACCCCATACCCTTACTGTTCAAAAGTTATGGACAAGGTTATAGTTTTTTTCATAAGTACGGAAATCTCCAAGGTCAAGGTCAAAAGGTCAAGTTTTTAGTATCCAATGAAAGGTCGTCATGCCAAGAAAAACACATATGTGAAATATGAGAGTACTAATATCTACCGTTTAAAAGTTATGGCCAAAGTAAATATTTGGCATTTTTGTGAAAAATGGGATAAACTCCAAGGTAAAGGTGAAAAGGTCAAATTTGGTGGTACCCAAAGTAATGTCTTGTCACAAGGAATACACATATTGAATATGAAAGTCATAGCTCCAATAAATGAAAAGATATGGTCAAGGTTAAAGTTTTTGCGGACAAACAGACCGCCAGATAGACAGAGAGATATACAGACAGACACGATAAAACTATATACCCCCGAATCTTCGATTACGGAGACATAAAAAGAAATGGTCTTCAATTAACTTTTCTTATTATGATACAGCATAAAGAAGACGTTACAAAATTGAAAATGTTTGTTCTAATTTTCATATTAAATTCTCTGAAAAATATACCCAGAACTGAGTAAAAGGGTGGAGTAAAACAAGAATTAAGATATGCAATGAATACTGTGTGCTAAATCAATGTCTACATGTGTAGTTTTTTGCATTAGAATGTGTATTTTACATTAGCCCATAGCTTTACAGAGCATATTTTAGGTGATATACCCACCCAACCCCCTTACTTATTTGGGAGGAAGTCGATTATCAACAAAAGCAACAAAAAATACCCTTAGGGGCTACCTTTATTTTTCTATAAGGAGGGACTAAAAATAAGCTTAAAATAATCTACTATTCTAATTTTCAACTGTTACTTTGCCACAATACTTTCAAGTATACCCCCACCAATATTTAACGTATGCTTTAATCATGGCGAAGTAAATTATGATATGATAGTACTTGTGTGAAGGCTTAACTTCATTTCAATATTTTATCTAGAACCTCTTTCAGTATTATTGAAAGGTATAGAGTTTTGTTTATATTTTTGCTTTTCATTTATTATTTTTTTTGTTTTGATTTAACGTAATGTTCTTCTTTTTTTTTGGGGGGGGGGATAAAAATTTCCTCCTCTTTCATTGTCAAATAGGATTTGCCAAACTTAAACAAGCTAAAAGTTGAAATGAAGGAAAAATTAATTTTTCCTATTAAAGAGTATTTAAACCTGATTGTTGCATGGTTTGATTTCTAAAAACAAGTGGAATATCATTCTTTAAGCAAACAATTTAAGGAGGAATATTAAAAAGAAATTTTATTTACTTGGCAATTAAAGAATGTCTTTTCAAACACAATTTTAGCATTGAAAGACTACGTGAATCTCTTAATTATTTCATACGAGTTTTTGTATTTTTCTGGTTACAGAAAATGTAAAAATTAGTTTCACCTGTTATCAATTTCGTATCACTTTAAAGGGGGTCATTTTTCAATGGGGATCAATTTTTTGTAGGACCAACATATAAAATAATGACACCTAGGACTCTTTTTCTACAAAAACTAATTTTTTTCTACGGGTGGGGGGTCATTTTTTGTCGTTGAAAAATGCCCCCCGTTGATTATTCGATGGGGGTCATTATTCGTCTTTACACCGGCCGAAGTTACAAAGGCCCATAAAACGATGTTCCAGGGTAATTGGCCGATGTATATTACATCGCTCATACATTGGTGAACATCGTTCGTACGTCGGTCAAATATTGGCCAATGTTTGGTCGAACATAGACTGAAGATCAGCCGATGTCTTTAGCCCACCACTCAATCCCCCGATGACCTCAGATTCAACGGAGACTTGACGATGCTCTGCCATACATCGGTCAATCCTTGAAAGATGTGTTAATGATGGGTTGCCTATGAGGAGCGATGTAGGGCATCGGTGGAGACATCGCCGATTTTTAACAACAACTTACCTTCTACCGATGACGCCCACCGATGCGCCAAATGGCCTCAGTCACCATCCGATTACTTTAGGTGTCCAGCCGGCAACCACGCCATTTTTATCAAAAAATGCATCGGTTCCTCATTGTATACCCCATCGCTGCATAATGTGATTGATACTTATGTCTAGGTCACATTTCCCGGCCGGTAGCCGTAGACCGGTGGTAATCGGTAGTAATCCGTGGTGTTAACGATGCCCCAACATCGGTCCACATCGGCCGAGTAGTCCTAAAAGTATCAGTCACATTATCCAGCGATTTGCATACGATAGACAACCAATGCGTTTTATGAGAAAAATGGCGAGGTTGCCGGCCGGACATACAAAGGCCAAGCGATGCATTGCTAATCGTAAAACGATGTTCCAGGATAATCGGCCGATGTATATTACATCGCTCATACATTGGTGAACATCGTTCTTACATCGGTCGACTATGGGCCAATGTTTGGTCGAATATCGACTGATGATCGGCCGATGTCTGTTGTCCACCACTAAACTCCCCGATGACCTCAGATTCAACGGATATTGGACGAACCTCGGCCATACATCGGCCGATCCTTGAAAGATATGTTAATGATGGGTTGCCGATGAGGAGCGATGTGAGGCATCGTTGGAGACATCGCTGAATTTTAACTACGAATTATTTCCTACCGATGACCCCACCGATTCGCAAAAAAGACTCAGTCACCGTCCGATCACTAGTGGTGCCCGGCCGGCAACCACGCCATTTTCATCAAAAAACGCATCGGTTTCTCATCGTATACCCCATCGTTGGATAATGTGACTTATACTTTAACAAAGGCCCTCCGATGCATTGCTTAAAATAAAACGATGTTCCAGGGTAATAGGCCGATGTATATTACATCGCTCATAAATTGGTGAACATTGTTCTTACGTTTGTTGACTATGGGCCAATGTTTGGTGGAACATCGACCGATGATCGACCAATGTCTGTTGCCTACCACTCAACCCCCCGATGACCTCAGATTCAACGGATACTTGACGATACTCGGCCATATATTGGCCAATTCTTGAAAGATGAGTTAATGATGGGTTGCCGATGAGGAGCGATGTAGGGCATCGGTAGAGATATCGCCGATTTTTAACTACAACCTATTCTACCGATGACCCACACCGATTAGCCGAATGGCTTCAGTCACCGTCCGATTATACAGGTGTCCGGCCGGCAAACACGCCATTTTTATAAAAAAACGCATCGGTTTCTCATCGTATACTACATCGCTGGATAATGTGACAGATACTTAAGGTAGTGATCCTTAAATCGCGAGATCGCATTCCATTGCAGATTGTAAATATCAAATCTTCGGATGAGTCTGCATAAACTAAGGTTCCTTGTCGCAGAATTAAATAGTTCTCTTACTACTCAAAGGCCGTAAGTGCCGACTCAAGTCTAAAATTCACATCCCTCAATAGGAAAGTAGTAGAGTCTTAATATATGTGAAAAATTCTAAAAGACATGTTCAATAGAAAAACAAACAAATAAGAAAGCGAACTAAAACATTAAAAGGAGGAATGCCTAGTCTCTAATCATTGATTCATAATACAAAGCATAGGAAAAAGAAACGTATAATTAAGTATATTTTTTTCTGTCATTTTATTGAAAACACATAATACAGCGAGTGTATCTCAATCATAATAACGTTAGCAGCATAGAAATTGACTTTTAATGTTAGAAAACCCCTAAAAATTTGAAAGAGGAAATGATTGTCATTGAGGCAATAACAAGACTAATATAATATAATTTTTCTAAACGGAAATTCGAATCAAATCGAGGAAATATCTCTTTAATATGCTTCGAAAAACAAGGAAATTTTTGTGCATAAGATTCAAAAATAAAATAAAACTAATTAATTCTAAAATAGAAATCGTAATTCTAAGCAACTGATTTAAACATCCCATATCTTTAAAATCAGAAAATCAACCATAGTTTTCATTATACGCTTCTTCAATATACACACATATTTTATATTATATGTACAAAGAACTTCGTCGTTTTTCTTGTAGTTCACATTCGTCTTTTGGATTACGCCCAGGTTACTGGATTTTTCATAATATTGAAAACTTTTTCAAACTTCACAAAGAGACCTTTGGAGGGTTTGCTGAAAAAAATATTCCATAGAAAAATAATTATGAATGAAAAAGGTAACCCTGTTTGATAAAAAAAATAGGATTGATTACCAGCTAGTATTCTTACGATATGCTGAATAATACGTAGTTGTAATCTATTGGATTTTCTTTTAATTAAAAAGGCGACTTGAATAACATTAAAAAAAAATCCATACCAGTTAAAATATCTAACTCCATTATAAACTCCATCATGCTTTCCATCTTCTACAAAATGGAAAGAAATATTTAAGAATTATAGGAAAAAATTTCCCTTTACCTTGAACTTGTATATGTTGGAAAAATATGGAAACATTCATTTGTTCTTTATAATTTAAACACCTAAATGTGTTTTTGATTGTTCATGTAGAGATAGCGTTTGTAAAATTTACGTAGCACACCTAACGCACCCCCCCCCCTCCAACACACACATAATATAGTTCTCTTTTGCAATAAAAAAACCTTTTATTTCTGCAGTATCAAAGTCATTCTATTGTTAAAATTGGTGTCTGTAAGAATATCATATAGAATGGATCGAAGTACATAGTATATTTTATCAAAGGTCCTTACATTTTATTTAAAATAGTAGAGAAAAGAGTAGAAAGAAAGGCAGTTTCTGCAACAAATTCTATAAATTGTCTTTATCTTACCTTCATCATCAAGCTCTACACCAACAAAGATTCCCGCCCGATCTTTTAAGTTTCCGACATATTTGACAATACCACTACTTCGAAGACCGTTGTATCTGGTAAATTCAATGACGTCGTCTATGCAGAGCATTGAAGGGGATCGCGGAAAAATGTGTTTTATTCCCTCTGCCGGCAAGGTGGATGCTCTGAAAATAAGAAAATACAATATTGGTTCATTATATTATAAGCAGTCTCTATTAAAGTCATATTTTGAATGTTATATGGTTGCACAATGACCTTGTCAGCAAATACCGTATAAGCAGAATTTTAGCGAGGATTTAATTTTGGCGTTATTAGCGAGCGTGTTTAGATCGCTAAAATTGAATATCGCTAAAAATTAATTGTGTTCTATTTTGTAATGGCTTTGCTTAATTCTCGCTAAAAAGAAAATACCCATTATTAAGGACAAATCGCTAAATTTTGCGTCTCGCTAAAATTTCCACTTATACGGTACAATTAATCTTAAGTCAAAATAATGCTGACTGTTCATACTAATCGTTAGGCTATTAGGCTATAATCTACATACTGATTTGGCGACTGATTTTTTCTGTTATGTCCCGATCATGACACCAGCAAACGGCAGGTGTGACCGGTCGGCAGGGGTTCCTAACTCCTCCATGGCACCTGATTCCACCCTGATGTTTTGGCGGTCCGTGTTTGCTTCGCTCCTATTTTGTATTGTTTTATGGTCTTTTGATTATGAATACTGTTTGTTATCATTATATATATGTCATTACATGTTTTCCAAATTGTTCAGGGGAGAAATTTTGAGAAAAGAGCATTGTATTGATTGTGTTGAATATTTCCCCCTTCCCCAATTTTTTCAGTACACTATGCTTATAAATTGATAATTATTGGAACTTGAAAACATTTTGCATTTCAAGAAATCATTTAAGAAATATTTAATTTGTGATTGGTCATCAAGAAAATTACTTTGTTAAAAATCAATCTGATTCTACAAACAACCTTAAAGGGGATAGTTAAAAGATGTTTTTTGGTCTTAAGAAACGTCATTTAATTCTTAGAGACCAGACCCTAGGATATCGAAACAAATTTACCATACTACATGTATTACCATATTTTATTTATTATTAAGAAAAGTACTTTGTTAAAAATCAATCTGATTCTACAAACAACCTTAAAGGGGATAGTTAAAAGAAGTTTTTTGGTCTTAAGCAACGTCATTTAATTCTTAGAGACCAGACCCCAGGATATCGAAATAAATTTACCATACTATAACCATATTAGAATTATTTCATACCTGAATGTTGATACAGAAGATCTATTTTCCTTTGTAGATTCTTGGGATCCTTTGTACAAGTTGGAGTCAGAAAATCTTTGTTGAAGCCCACCTCCGGCATTTCTTCTAGCATGTGTTGGGTACCAACCCCACCTTCTATTTGATTCTACTGATTCGCACACGCCTTTATTTTAATAACATAGTAATTTAGCATAAATTGAAAAGGAATAAAGATTATGACCTGAAATTGTGGTAGCATTCTTAAATGTATGAACTTTTAAAGAGAACTTTCATTATGACTGTACTAAAGTAACAATTGAAACTTATTAGAAGTTCATATACAGGCTAGTGCCAGTCATACTGTACCCTTTTGTGAAAACTGAATTGCACAAATTTAAACCACATCAGCAAAACATTAATAAAATGAAGATTTAAGCTATATTTTATTTTTTCAAAGTCATTCAAGGATTTTCATGCAAAGTGTGTATGTTTTACTAAACAGTTGCAAACAATTTGTTTCGTAGAAAAGTATACCCGAGTACCCAAAATCCGTCACCACTCCCGCGCTGACTGTTGTCGTAAGTTAGCATTTGATAAAAGATTTTCAGCATGCAAAAATGATGTCATAATCACATTCGCTTCCAAACATCGCGGAGGGGTATTGACGGAGTTACTGGGTTTGGCGATAATTGAAAATCTTGAGAAAAATGAATTTAATTAATATTTTATTCTCGAGAACTTAATTTTCGCGTAATTACGCGTGACAATGAGCTCGCAAAATTTTTATTCTCGCGTATAAAAATATTCCTTACGATAACAACAAAGCGTGAAAATTGTGTCTCGCTAACAAAGAGTCAATGATTATCTCGCGAAAATAAGATGTCACAAAAATTTTGTGATCTAAAGTACTTCAGATAGATAGGCAATAATTTACTCATGATCTAAAATATGTGAATAAATATTGTTTCTAAATCATATCTTTACAGCGGCGCCACAAAGAATTATCGAATAAATGAAATAATATCTGGTTGTTTTATTTGAATAGAGAATTACTTATAACCTTGTTGACTCCGCGACTCCTTCCACCAAGATGCTGCCATATCTTCTTCACTATCAGAGAAAGACGTGGTGCGAAACTTAGAGAGATCCTTACGCCTAAATGCAGGCAGATGGTGGGATTTTATGCACGACATTTTATCTTTCTCTGTTTTTGGCCATTCCAAGGTTGATTTAACGGGACAACTTATTTCACCAAAAAGATCTTTAAGTTTCTCTTCGGACAGTATTTTGCCAGAAAATATAGGGCTTTTTATTTGGATTTTTACTGCATTTCGAAGTAAATGCTGAAAATCAACATTATAATGAAATAATTCCATTGTATCAGCGGCCTCTAGCAGATCTGACAAGCCCTGAAGGAATTCGTCCAGACGTTTAATAGCGTTTTGGAGATAATCTTGTTTGTTCATCAGATCTTTCTGAATGCAAAGTTTCATTTTTCTTGCATCATCGAGAGATGCTTCGACAACATTATCAAGAAATCTTTGCAACTTCTCCCTATTTTTGTATATATTCTCTTCAATACTATCAAATTCTGTAGGAAGGATCTTAAGCTGTTCCTCAACCTGATCTTTCATCTTCTCAAAAATTGGAATTAAAGACTCTTTAACTTCATGTCCTGCTTTTTCAATACAAGATTTTCTTTCCCTTAAGCATTCTGCAAAATCCTTTACATCATGTGACCTGTGTTCCCCGGATGTTATGCACTTACTGCAGGCTGATGAACAGCAAGTTTTACAGAACATCTCACATTGCTGATTTTCATGAACAGGGCAGGCTGGATATTCTGGCCGAGAGGAACTGAAGGACAGAGATGACACGTCATGAGTCGTACTCACTTTACTCGACATATGTTTTCCTACACAGGTCTCACAAAGAATGGAGGAACAGGAATGACAACGGAATTTTCCGCCGTTACAACACATACAGCATCTCACTACATCCTGAGCCTTGCATGCGTTAGCCATTTGTCTGAAAGAAAAAAACGCTTCGACATGTTTTTGCTGATTTTTTATCTCATTAATTTTATATCTTCTTCGTAATACATTTTCTCTCTTTTATTTCAGTGTGTAGTTATGTAGTTTACATTATTGTTTAGATCCAGAGCGTTGTACACAATTGCAAACAAAAGGTTGTTAATTATAAATGAAATAAAAAAAAAACCTTAATTAAAAAATCTTTTGTGTTATTTAAAGGATGGAAAGTCGCGATCCACAGAAGATTTGAGCTCGGATAAAAAAGCCTTAACTGTTGAAACACGTAAGAAAGCTTTAAATTTCTTATCTTTTTTATCCGTAACACAAATATGCATATTAAATACTAACTTACCATTTATATCGAATTCATAAGCATTAAAGTCTTTTCCTCTAACCTAAATCAAAAAAAAATAAATGTTCCTCAATGTAGCCAGATGGATACGAAAGAATCACTAAGAAGGCCGGATGAGATATATTAATACCAACAAGGAGTTTGCTTTTTATAACACAGTGCGAAATTTATCATTTTTAATTAATAATGGTACAATTATTTATTAAGAGATTTCTGTAAAATAAAGTTCAATAAAAATGTTAAGCGTACAGATAAAAAAAAATAGAGATAACGGTATATAAGCTCAAAGATCCCTTAAACAATAAAAGTTTGGAACAGAGCAAAAACGGACCTCTAAAACAACATAAGTAGGATCAGGTGCAATGGAAGAGAAATAATTCCCTGCCAACCAGCCACAATTGCCGTGTGCTCCTTGTCATGATCGAAAATAGCGGGAAAAAATCGTCCCAATCGTCGAAAACTCAGTATGTAAATAAAGGCCTAATGAAAAGTATGAAAAGTCAGCATTTGACTTAATTAATGATAGATTTTATTTCCTGACAAAATCATATTATTGTACGTTAAACATGAAATGATGACTTTTAATGAGACTGATGATGTTTTTGTTTATCAACTTGTACATGTATGTCAATAACTTATCTCTTTTTAGGAATTGTTCATACATAGAGCATTCTGTTTCGTTTTGAATAATTAAGAGATAAAACCCCGTATTCAGGTGATGAAGGTATATTGTCGCATTTTAAGTAAGGAAGTTGATTGAAAAGTAAGTCATCGCGTTTATCAAAAAGCTTTAATGTAAGATTACCATAAATGTCTTTTTATAGAAAAATATTCAAATATGAAACTAATATGTCACACTCTGTGGTATCTTTTACGTCAAGCTGACCGGGATATATAGTATCTATGACCATTGTTTATTGACAATATGTCGTCGATGTATCTTAATGTCGAGTTGAAGCTTAAATTTATAGCAATTGTTTCTCTCTTCGCGTACTCGATGTGAATAAATTAGTGATCGGACGGTGACTGAGACCATTTTGCGAATCGGTGGGGTCATCCGTAGGAAATAATTCGTAGTTAAAATTCAGCGATGTCTCCAACGATGCCTCACATGGCTCCTCATCGGCAACCCATCATTAACACATCTTTCAAGGATAGGCCGATGTATGACCAATCATCGTCCAATATCCGTTGAATCTGAGGTCATCGGGGGGTTGAGTGGTGTTCAACAGATAACGGCCGATTATCGGTCGATGTACGACCAAACACTGGCCCGTAGACGACCGATGTTCGAACGATGTTCACAAACGTATGAGCGAAGTAATATACATCGGCCGATTATCCTGGATCATCGTTTTATGATTAGCAATGCATCGCTGGGCCTTTGTAAGTCCGGCCGGCAACCACGCCATTTTTATCATAAAACGCATTGGTTGCCCATCGTATACCCATCGCTGGATAATGTGACTGATTCTTTAAGGACTACTAGGCCGATGTGGACCGATGTTAGGGCATCGTTAACACCACGGATTACCACCGGTCTATGGCTACCGGCCGGGAAATGTGACCTAGGCATAACCAGGCGATGGGCTTAATTGGTACTCAGTGGAGTTCAAATAGATTGTTTGAAGACCTGGTCTCAAGAAGAGACATATACGTATATAATAATATATATTGCCACGCAGGAACTCTAGGATCTATTTAATATCAACTTCAGAATACATGTATCTACAGTCAAAATGTTTTAAACAAAATAATTTTGCAAATGACCAATGACAGGGTAAGTAAATTAACGAGTTCCATTTTATGGAAAAATAAGCTGTCAATGATATCAAAAAGCCGGAGATGATTTCATAAAAGTTTTATATAAAACCTCCAGTGAATCTGGATGTAATTCATAAATATAAGCATAAGCATTTAATACACTCTGGTGCTACTTATAAACAATTTTTTTCAGCATGAGAAAATCAACCAACCATATACATGTACCGGTATTTTAAATTTACTTCAGTGTGACCGAAAACTTTACACTTACTTTCGAATGTACATGGTAAATATGATTTGCCTCTCATATATTTGTCTTTTGATTTATCAAGGCGCCCTCTGTCAAGCAAAATAGGCACCACGCTATTCAGTTCCCTAAGAAAGGCTTGATTAATTAATGTTTACATTATTTAAATTCTGAGCAAAATTAAAGATGAAATAGAAATGTGTGAATGTGTGAGGGTGTGTGTGTTTTAAAATTTTAACTCCCCTCCCCTTAACGTTATAAAGTTGCAAGCAAATCTAAGCTTCCAAACACACTAATTTTTAGAAATTTTATTTTGGAGAGATTTTTTTTTTTTAAAAAAATTTCCTGTTTAATATTATACAATTAGTAAAACCTCTTTAAACTTACAGGTTCAAATTAAACTATAAAAAAGTTACTTCTAGTTCTCTACAGAGAACAAAATTGAAAAAAAAATAAGTGGGTTAAAAAATTCCATTCCAGTGTTTAAATATTGCAATGAGTAAACAGAACTTGTTTACTTCTGATTTTCCTTTGAAAAAAAAATTACGATGTTTTTCTGATTTAATTTTAGAAACATGTCTTTAGCCCATTAAAATTTCTCTGCCGGATTAGCATAATACATTTTATGGTTGAATTGGTCCACTCGGCGAGAGAGTTTTGACGCTGTTTATGGAGAGTAAAGGAAATATAGACAAGCATGCCATATATGTAAATGAGGGCGATTCTTGTGGAGGGGGATACCCCGTCTTATTCAGAGAAAGACAATCTGTGGTTTTATTATACCATGGGATAAATATATCATAAAAACAAGTGCCTGTGCCTTTCACCTATGAAAAACTTCTTACAGGTACATTGTATGAATATATTTGCTTTCTGCATATATATATATATATATATATATATATATATATATATATATATATATATATATATATATATATATATATATATATATATATATATATATAAAGCACTAAAAAACCAACAACACTGTATATCCTAAATGTCGGATCTACCAAGTAGATACAAGGTCACGGATGGAAATTTATATAAAGCACTAAAAATGACCAACGACACGAACAATAAAAAAAAAAAAAAAAAATTGTCTTTTTTTTTTTTTTTTTTTTTTTTTTTAATTGTTCGTGTCGTTGGTCATTTTTAGTGCTTTATATATATATATATATATATATATATATATATATATATATATATATATATATATATATATATATATATAAAGCACTAAAAATGACCAAGCACAGTTTTTAGTTCTTCATAATATAAATCATAAATAAATGAACGAATGTAATTTCACTTATAATATAACTTTTTTAAAAGGATATTTTTGGTTTTCGTCTATAATGTTGCACTTCTTTTATGATGAGGATAATTAAATCATGACGACCATTTTATTTTAATTTTTGATAAGAATTGCCTCGTTTGCCTGTTAAAGGCGGCTGTGATTGATCGACATAGAATGCTTACTCCCCCTTGCCATCTGATTCCATATCAGGGGTTTTCGGGGGTTGGTGTGTTTGAACTGTCCTAATTTTTACTGATTCGTTGTTCCCTTCAAATGTTTAAACAAGCTTTTATTCTGATATGCACATTGCTCAGACACAAAGTTGTTAACATTTTGACATACTTTTCAAAAAATCTTTATGACATCTAAGTAAAATCTAAGTAACATTTTCCGTAATGTTTCTATATATACATCATACAAGTGTAGAATAAGGAAATAAGGTTTTATCTTAATCTTGAGGATTTTATCAGAATTTTAAAATGTTTCTTCCTTTCAACACTACAACTAATGACTTAGTACGATGAATATTTCTGCATTCATAATTTAAGCCTTTGTTTAAAGATGATTGCACTTTTATTTACAAATAGCGACTGATAAATTACATTTTGCACATTTTCCATATTCTAGAAACTTTGTTTTTGAATTTTTTTCACTGATAAAAATAAGTATTTTTCATTTTAAAAACTGGATAAGTAAAGAGTAGACAGTTTTTTGTTTGATTTGCAGGAAAAAACTAGTTATATGACCCAGGTTGATGAATTAGGGTAGAATACTAGAAAATGATATTTTACTTTTATTTCATTTTACAGTATCAAAATGCAATAAAGAAATCAAGCAAAATGAATAAATGCAACTCAGTTACAAGTATTTAGGATGGATACTTTAACTAGCTAGGAAAAATGATACCCTTTGTAAATTTCCAAGGTAACATCTTTCGAAACCATTGTCAATCATAAAAAAAAAATTTGTAAAATTTAATCCTCGTTGATTAAAGCTTCAGCTTCAATGCTTGCATTCATTATCATTTTTCGATTTTCTTCCACACATTGAACACCTTGTCGAACTTGATAAACATCCCTTTATTGTGTTTGCTAAAAAGAAAAGGAAAAATAACCCAATTATTTGTGAGTTTTTGAAGACAAGTAAATTAGAGCCTTATTAGCCTTGATGCCTAATTTCCCGAACAAATTCTTTATAAGCGATTGAAACCAAATTAGTATTTAAAAATTAATATTAGTTCGGGAATGTGAAGCGTCCAAATTATTGGCGTCCGGATTAACGAGGCTCAGTGTATAAAAAATAAATAAATAAATAATAAATAAATAATAAATAAATAAATTCTTGTAAATATAGCTTTTCAACATTAAGCTTCGAGGTATATATGACGCATTCTTAAAATTTATTTTACATTTTTAAGATTTCATGTAGTTAAATTTGAATAAGTGAAAGTCGTGAGAGCAGATTTATATGTCATTTACTCAATTTACCACTTAAAATATCGAACTCCCTCAATCATTCCATCATGTTTTCCATCACCTGAAAAATATCAATCTAAATGTCCATTTATATGAAATACATGTAAATTCTTCTCTATTATAAATTTTAATCTTAAATTTGGTAAATAAGTTGCTTATTAAAATAGAATTATAGATATATACATCAACTTTAAAAAAAAAAATCACATATAAAAATGAATATTTATATTCAAAAAATGAAAAGGGAACCAGGTTTTTGTAAGAATGAAAATGTATTGCTCCA